AGATTTTACAAGTTTTTTTTTTTATTAACTTGCTTTCTTCATATGTCTTTACGACTCAACATTTCTAATCAATATTTAAAGCACTTGCTGACATTCGATTGAGCTGAAAGGCGTACTTATATAACTTAGATGGCAATGCAATAAAATGTTACCATGAAACTGATTTCATAATAGACCCAAATGCTGGCTTTAGCACCACCAATAGAAGCTTGTTTTAAATCAATTTTGTAGTTATTTAGTTTATTTCATATGAAACAAACTGTTTCATGCCCGCTTTTCGGGGCCTATATTATATACATGCATATCGATGTAAACGTTTTATTTTATCATCATCCCCATTACGATGTATGAGTTAATTTCTAGAAATGAAAACTACTGGTCGATTTCAACCTCAAACATTTCGACATTCTTTTCGATTTCAACACCATTACATCAATCTGCATTTAAATATCTATATACACTAATGTACACACTATTTTGATTTATTAACGAAACTTAATCTTTGAAAAGTATTTTTTTTTCATTTGAATTAACTGTTATTTAAGAGCTTTCTATATGGAAACAATGACAAACAACTTTGCATTATAATGTGTTTTAATTAGCTTAATTCTTATCTTTAATCATTCTATTACTGGATTAAAATTTTTCTCAGAACACCCTAGCGACGCATTCCTTATGTTTCTAAAACACACCACGCCATCACGCTCTATGCGCAGTCTGTAGAATTATCGGCATTCAAATAATCGCAGTTAATATTTGTACAAATCGATCGATCATTAATGGTGATGATGTCTTAGTCTGTCTTAAAATTATTGTATTGTCTTCGGTTCTTAATACGTCTGCAAAGTTTTAGACTAATCAGACTTCTAGAAGAGGGTGAAAACTAAACTAATAAATATCCATTACATTAATACCGTGGCGTGTAGTGGCGGTTAAAAATATCCACTACTTTATATCTTCCCGTGGGTGTCGTAAGAGGCGACAGTGGGAAACAGGCAGGTGATGGGCAGCAGCATCTTCCTGATACCTAACCCTAACAGCAAAATAACAATAAAAACTGTGGTTGCCAAACCGCTCGCCAAGCGTGGCAACTATGGCAAATATACTCCTATGAATGTAACAAAGAGACAGCCCCCAGTCCCCGGCGGCCCCGCTATTCCTAGCTACGGTGGCGACCATGGTAACGGCGGGGCAGTGGGTGCTGAGAATCTCCGGTGGAGATTCGGTTGCTACGACCTGGCAACATATAACGCACGCACCCTAAGGACTGACGAGAAGATCGTAGAGCTGGAAGATGAGATAGACAAGTTACGCTGGCATATTATAGGATTATCCGAGGTCCGAAGAGAGGGGGAGGACACGGTAATCTTCGAATCCGGCAACTTGCTCTATCACCGGGAGGGCGACCATCTGTCCCAAGGAGGTGTCGAATTTATCGTTCACAAATCTCTCGTTAACAACGTTGTAAAGATCACCAAACGTTATTTGCTGACATACAGGTTTACGCATCAACCTCGGCACATCCCGATGCGGAGGTGGAGGAAATGTATGAGGATATCTCTAGAGCCATCCATTCCTCCAAAACCCACTATACGGTGTTAATTGGAGACTTCAATGCAAAACTAGGCACAAGAGAAAACGGTGAGCTGAAAGTAGGGAAATTCGGAATAGGGCAACGGAACCCAAGGGGCCAGCAGCTGGCCGACTTCATGGAGAAAGAGTGACTTTTTATGATGAACTCTTTCTTCCAGAAGCAGCCCCACAGGAAGTGGACCTGGTCGAGCCCCGACAGTTCGACAAAAAAATGAGATTGACTTCATTATGACGACCAGACGACAACTGTTCAGTGATGTCTCCGTGATCGCGAGGGTAAAAATCGGCAGCGATCACCGAATGGTGAGAGGCACACTGAACCTAAACGTTAAGTTGGAGAGGTCACGTCTAATGAAGTCAACGCTCCGTCCCCCTCCTGCTCTAAAGTCCCGAAATCTTTCATTCCAGCTACGAAACTGTTTTCAGTACCTAGAAGTTTGCAATGCAGTGGACGATATGAATGACAAGCTCGTGGAAACTGTCCATGCGGTCGGAGCTAAGTTTTGCAAGACCCGCCGCAGAAGAACACAAAAACTCTCCGATCATACTCTTAATCTCATGGCTGTTAGACGGGATATGAAGCTACAGTTTTCAACACATTTGACAGTAAGTAACCTCAAGTATTTAAGGGACTTAAGCAACTTCAATACAGCTTGTATTGAAGAAGTGATCGAGCGGAACCAAGGCTCCAAAAATCTTTGCCAGAGATCTGTATCCCAGAAAGAGCCAACCATCAAAGCTGAAGACCGAGTGTGGTAGCATCGTTTGCGGGACACCTGAGATTTTAGGTGAGATTAAGAGGTTCTATGGGCAGCTGTACACGTCATCGTTGGAGCCACACGCAAGGGTGAGTAAAGATCCAAGAGCGAGTCTTATCCGACACTATTCCGAAGATATCCCGGACGTCAGTCTGAGCGAGATTAGAATGGCTCTCCAGCATCTTAAAAGCGGCAGGGCCCCAGGTGAGGAAGGAATTACAGCAGAGCTTTTGAAAGCGGGTGGAAAACCGGTATTTGAAGTCCTTCAGAAGCTCTTTAATTGCGTCCTCCATGATGGCACTACTCCGGAGGCATGGAGCAGAAGTGCGGTGGTCTTGTTCTTCAAGAAAGGCGACAACGCTCTCTTGAACAACTACAGACCGATTTCCCTTCTGAGCCGCGTCTACGTGCCGTTTTCGAGAGTCATTACGAATCGTCTCGCACCCAGACTTGCCGACGTCCAGCCTCCCGATAAACCGGTTTCCGAAAAGGCTTTAGTACCATAGACCACATACACACCCTTCGGCAAATTGTACAGAAGACAGAGGAGTATAATCTGCCACTTTGCCTTGCGTATGTGGACCATTGATTAAAAGCCTTTGATTCCGTCGAAATTTGGGCGGTGCTGCAGTCCCTACAGCGGTGCTAAGTTGACTTTCGGTATATCGAAGTGCTGAAGTGTTTGTACAGTAGGGCTACGAAGGCTATCCGAGTACAGAATCAGAGTATGAAACCTATCCAACTGTAGAGAGGTGTAAGACAGGGTGACGTTATATCCCCGAACTCTTCACCGCTGCATTGGAAGACGTTTTCAAGCTACTGGACTGGAAAGGATGCGGTATTAACATCAATGGCGAGTACATCACTCACCTCCGATTTGCCGACGATATAGTACTTATGGCAGAATCGCTGGAGGACCTAAGCACTATGCTCAATGACCTCAATAGTGTCACCCAACGGATAGGTCTTAAGATGAACATGGACAAAACAAAAATCATGTTTAACGTCCATAACACCTATGCCGGTAGTTGTTGGAAGCACTAAGCTCGAAGTTGTTGACGATATGTTTACCTGGGACAAATAGTCCGACTAGTTAAATCCAACTTCGACCGAGAGGTCAATCGACGGATTCAACTCGGCTGGGCAGCGTTCGGGAAACTACGACACATCTTCGCGTTAGACGTAGCCATACTGTATTAGTAGTATAGTTGTAGCACGAATGGGTCGGCTCGATCGGGGAAGGACCACGCTCTCACAGAAAACTAGCGTAAAATAGCAGCTTAACACTGCTGTGTTTCGTCGTAGAGAACCGGAGACCCTTTTTACTGGCAAAGAAGCATTCCATCTTAGTCCTCACGGGTGACAACGCATCTGCATCTTGAGTCTTTATTGAGGATAGATGTAGATGTCTATGGGTCGTAGTAACCACTTACCATCAGGTGGACTGTGTGCTCGTTTGTCACCCTATCCTATAAAAAAAAGACGTACCTCAAAACCTGAAAACGAAATTGTACAACCAGTGCATGTTGCCAGTGATGACTTACGGATCTGAGACGTGGTCCTTCACTGCTGGTCGTATGAGGAAGCTCAAGGTCGCTCAACGAGCTATGGAGAGGGCTATGCTCGGGGTTTATCTGCGTGATAAACTTAGAAATGAAGATATCCGCAGTAGAACCAGAGTGACCGACATAGCCCAACGGATTAGTAAGCTGAAGTGGCAGTGGGCCGGCCATATAGCTCGAAGAACCGACAACCGATGGGGAAGAAAGGTTCCCCCCCCCCCCTAAATGGAGTGACGACCTGGTAAGACATGCAGACATGAAGTCGATGTATGCAGGTGGCTCAGAACCGTGCTTTGTGGCATTCCTTGGGGGAGGCCTATGTTCAACAGTGGACTTATGAAAGGTTGTAATGATGATGATGACATTAATACAACAATTCATAAAGCGTGTGATATATTTACATACAAAAGCCCCAAACTTAGGACTAATTTTTCAATCGTGAGATTATAGTTATTAATAGATAACATCTTCCTGATAACAATTCAAAATATTACGAAACTGCGGTTATAAACACATCTGTCGAGCGTGGTATACGTCATAATCTCCCCTATTAGGCAATCAATGTGGGAGGCCTATTTCAGCATTCGACTTTTATAGGCTCTAATGGATTGATGGAATGGACATGTTAACTAATCTAATAATAGAGAACGAGGCCAGACATTAAATAATAGCAGCATAAACAAATTAAAAAGTGACAGTTGTAAGAATAAAATACCTAGTTCAATTGTTTGACTTTTACATTTTGTCGGGTTATCGTTTATTTGATGAATTACCTTTAATTGACGATTGAAAAACTAGCCCTTATTCCTGTATTTAGAGACAATCTCGAACTTAAAATCTAAACACTGCAATGTTAAAATTTAAGTCTAGGCCATATTATTTACCTGAGATATTTACACAAATTTTGACACTCTGAAGTTTGACTTTAAGCTCGACATTGCCTCCAAATACCGAGTTTAAAATACAACAAAAAAGCTCTGACAGGCGTATAGCATAGGGATACACAGAGATGTAAATAAAAAACGAGTTGTTTAAATGCGTCTATATTCATTTAACGGTCATAAATAAATAAATTACATCGATTAGTTTAGGAAAAAGCTTCATGAATAAACGTAAACTTGGTCTTGGTATCGTTTGATACGCTTTTGCATCTATCTCTTAACAATTTGACTAACTTCTTTGGTCCACAGCAATATAAACTTAGGTTTTGTCTGAAAGAAAACAAAAACGTTTTACTTCGAAGTTTGAACAGCAGTTGATGTAGTAACCAACAAGTTGTTTATATCTATGGGCCACAGCATCTACATACTTAGGTACACTACACTAAGTTCAAATAATTAAAAATTAAAAATTTTGTACAACCGACTTCAATATATATTATTAAGGATAACTCAAAAAAATTGTCAAATCTTGATCAAATTTATACGTGACCACATGAGAAGCACCAGCTTTCAAATAAAAAAAGAATCATCGAAATCGGTTCACATACAACAAACTTATAAACAAAGGTATATACACATAAAAAACATACAGTCGAATTGAGTACCTCCTCCTTTTTGAAGTCGGTAGAAAAAACTCCGAAACTGCTCCTCGCCTGACATTGAGCCAAGTATAGTTCGCATAAGTTTCTGAAATTTCCCTTAGTCGACTCTGAAATATTGCTGCAACAAAATGCACTTCTCTGCGCTTCTCCTCTTAAAAGGAACATGGACCTCTCCTACTAGTGCGAGCTTGCCATAATCATCATACTTGACAAGCGGTTTGGCAATCTCAGTACAATACTCGCACCTTCGATGCCGCTTCCCATCGCTGGCCTGCGTTTTTTACGGCTAGCTCGTTGGTCACCTTTAGTTTTAGTTATTACCCGACTGCCCCAGAAAGAAGGTAATGTTTTATGAAAGTATGTATGTATGTCTCTGTAGCCTAAATGGCTTGATGGATTTTAATGTATAGTGTCGTAAGATTCCTCTTAGTTGTGGAAGTAACCATAGGCTAAAACTTTTTTCTTTTTCAGTAAATATTTCTCACGTTTGGGTTTTTTAATTACTGTATAATCATTAAGCTTGTTTTTTCAAGCCTTGTTCGTTCAAAATGTGGTTATATTGCCATCTTTCAGATGATTGATGGTAAGTGGATGCTGTGACCTATAGACACCTACTTCTATCGAAATCATCTATAGGAATGCGATCGTTCTTGCGTTACCCTTTTTGTATAGAATAAATGTAACAAAAAGCACACAGTCCACCTGATGGTAAGTGGTTGCTGTGGCCCATAGATATCTACATCGATCTTCGTTTGCGAATTAAAACACAGATGCGTTGTCAGCCGTGAGGACTAAGATAGAATGCCTCTTTTCAAGTAAAAATGGTATCCGGTTGTCTACACTCACCATACCAAACATAGTAGTGTTAAGCTGCTATTTTACGCTGGTATTCTGTGAGAGCGTGGTGCTTCCCCGGTTGAGCCGACCCATTCGTGCTACATCTATACTACTAATATACCTGCAACATGTCTCTACCACCCTAAGACGCTTCTTACGACAACTAAGGGACGAAATGGAACGGTCGATTCTCTTAGGTCGCTATCACACGGAAATCATGTTACCATGATTTATCATATATATCCCATGCAAACAATGACTCTGTTACTTTGCGATTATATGTAAATACTAGCTGTACCCCGCGACTTCGCCCGCGCGTAATTTATTACGTTTGGATTTGATGGGTTTTAATTTTTTTGCGCGGAACCCTAATTCTTTTTCTAAAATAAAAGTAGCCTAAGTTATTTCTATATAACATCAGTTATCTGCCAGTGAAAGTCCGGTCAAAATCTGTCCAGCCGTTTCGGAGATTAGCCAGCACAATCAGACAGACAGACAAACAGACAAAAATTTTAAAAATCGTGTTTTTATTATAAGTATTGTATATACTTTCATATGCATATAGTAAAAAGCTGTTATTTCGACATTACAAACAGACACTTTAATTTTATTTATTTGTATAGATGTATAGACATAGATTATGTAAAATAACTTAAAAATAATTTGAAAACATCTGAAACAAAAACGGCTGATGATCTTCAAACGGCTGAACAGATTTTTTGAAACATACCTAAGAACACTTTCGATTAAAACACCGTCGAAACGAAAGAAACTAAATCAAAATTGGTTCAACCGTTCTCGAGCTATGATGCCACAGACAGACACACATACACAGATACACACTATAAACTTATAACACCCCTCTGTTTTCGTCGGGGGTTAAAAGTATCAACCAATAAGACGGCTCCGAGGCAAAGTGGCTATTTATGAATATGAAAGCGCCAGGGTGGCCCGCGAAATTCAAATTTTCTTACGTTTTTTGGAATTTGCAGGTCAGGGTTAGGTTGTATGTTCCACAAAATATGATTCGAGACCGTAACGAGTATGAGTTTATTAAATTATTATCATTTAAATCACCAATACAACCTTTTAAATTCATATAATCCCTTTGAATGAGTTTTTCTGGAAATAGAAATACAATGGGATTATACGAACATAGACGGTTGTATTGATGATTATAATGATTATGATTCTGTAAATACATATTCGTTACGGTCGCGAATCAAACATACAACTTGACACTGACCTGCAAAATGCAAAAAACCTAAGAAAATTTGAATTTCGCGGGCTACCCTGGCGTTTTCACCTTAAGCTGCAGTATTTAGAGCCGTGGGTTGGAATCCCGCACGGAACAAGTATTTGTTAATTTGTATGGCCTACAAATATATTTTTTTTAATTCTATAGTTGACGTTTTTAATCATAAAATCAAATTTGTATACTCACTCTGGATACAGATGCACCCAATAACCGAACACACGGTCCCAATGCGGCCTGCCTCTTCTGACTCTACACCCCAGTAGAGGATATTCCTTTGCTATATCGTACCCTTTATTATCCAAATCTCTTTTAACTTCAACGTAGTCATTAACTTTTTTGATCGGAGTTAAAAGCGTTGCTTTTTCATCATCTAGAGTTCTATCATTTTCGTTCAGAACATGACTTATGACTCCTTTCTCGTTAATTACTATAACATGTGCTAAATCATTTTTATCTTTATCTATGGGAGTATTGGTTTTATTATTGTTTGTGGCAGTTACGTAAAATTCTATATGAAGTCGGTCCGGTCGATTTGCATATCTCAACTCAGATAATACTTTATTTGTTAATTCCGCCAACCACGTTATTTCCTGTTCCTGTCTCACTATCCACAATAAGTGAACTCGTCTGGGTAAGAAGCCCCTTGGATTTCTATAACATAATAATTCATTCATTCATTCATTCATTACGGTCTATCAAAAGGAAAAAAGCATAGTTGTCACAATTAAATTTGTTTTTTTTTATAGAATATGGGTGAAACGAGCACATAGTCCACCTGATAAGTAAGTGGATGCTTTGGCCCATAGGCATCTAAGATCAAATCGATCGATCATCGATTAAGAATCAAAATGCAGATGCGTTGTTACCCCTGAGGACTTTGATGGAATGCCTCGTTTCCAGTAAAAAAGGGGTCTCCGGTTCTCTACAGTCAGCATACAATATACAACAGCATTAAGCTAAGCAGCTGGTATTCTGTTAGAGCGTGGACCTACTTTAGTTGAGCTATGTTACCACCATGATATAGCGTGGCCCTACCACGTATAATACGTTTTTTTAAATTATATAGAGTTGTTATCAGGAAGATGCCGCTGCCTTTCTCCTGTTCCAGTTGTATTCTGCCGCATTTTAAGACACCTACGGTATAATATGTGGTAGTGGGTTCTATTGTGCCGTCATTTTTTTACAACTATTTCCGTCTTATTTATTTTTGTCGTCGATCAGAAGTGTTATCTTAATATATTCTGTATTGAATGGAACATAAAGCGAGTACCTATAATTGTATTAGAACAGAAGATAGGCAGAAGCATCTTCATGACAACAATTACAAATTGCCACACGTGGCAACTAAGGCTTAGTCACCCCTATCTATGGGGGAGGCCTATGTTCAGCGATAGAATTTTATATGCTGTAACGGATAGATGGATGATAATTATATTAACCTCTCGGTAGCTTGCCACTGATGTTTTGTTTTATGATAAACTCATCAGGAATTAAACACATACGCTGATACTTCGTAATAGCTTGAGAAATACATAAATTACTGCGTTCGCGGTAAAAATAACTTTTTCATTGTTATCTTTATCCTAAGAAGGATTTGCTGTGATCTCCGAGGTTAACAGTCAATGTCGATAACACGGCAATGTCCCACCCGGAAGAATTAATCACCCCATTTAGTCTTGTGGTTGTTTTAGATATTATTTAAATGAGACCATCTGGGAAGTATACTCTTTGAAACAAAAAAAGAATTTAACAAATCGGTTCATGCGTCTTCGAGTAATCGGTGAACATACAATAAATAAAAATTCCGACTAATTGAGAACCTCCTCCTTTTAAATAATTTTAATACTTACATAAGCATATCATATAAAATGGTCACAAATGGTGTGATTCCTACACCGGCTGCCACGCACAATGCGATATCACTTCTACTAACTCCTTCCATGGGACTCGAGAAAGGACCATCGATAAGCACCCTGAAAATTATTAAGGTTTATATAAATCTCAACGAAAAATATAAAAACATGCGTGAATGTGGTGGAACACTCGGTTGGAACGAAGTTCTTTTCGTATTATATTATTATTGATAATCGTATTATATTATTGATTAACTATACAAATAAATGAATTAGTGGCGTCCTTTAAAATAAAATAATATTTCTTTCATGGCAACATAAGAAAAAGTGCGAGGGAGATCGATATTATTCCATCTCGCTTCCTTATACGTAGTGTAGACGGCCTTCCGCCAAGGCCGTCTACACTACGTCAGAAGGGGTCGTGAAAGAAAAATTTTACACTTTTTTTTGCCTAGCTCGTACAAATTCGTACAGTCCGATAAAGAATTGCGTTTCAAAAACGTGTTCATATTTTTAATAAACGAAACCAGCCTCCGATCAATCATACTCGTATATGGCAAACAGACACTGTGGACCTTTGGTCTATATCTATAATACACTTTACATTATTTTTTAATGAAAATTAAAGATTTAAAAATGCTTTAATGACGAAGATTTTTAGATAGAATAAGGATGACATTTTTTTTAAATAGAACACAGTCTACCTGAGGGTATGTGAATACCTTGGCTCATAGACATCCTTATCTATCCTCGATTCAGAATCAAAATGCAGATGCAGAAGATCGAATGCTGCATTTCCAGTAAAAAGAGTACACTACACTCATCACACGATACACAGAAGCATTAAGCTGTTATTTACGCTGGTATTCTGTGAGAACGTGGTCCTTGCCGGTCGAGCCGACCCATCTGTGCAATAACCATAGCATAGCTGCAGCATAGCTCTACCATGTTAATAAATAATATAAACTCAATCAGATCAATGTATAAAAAGTTTCAATGATATAATCAAGCGAATCGCATGCAATAAAGATAAATAAAAAAATAAAATCACATAATTAGTGTTATTAACCTGACGTTAATTGCTCCTCTCTCCAAAATCAATCTCTCGAAAGCTTCGGTCCAATCGCCTTTGACTCTTATCCAAACGTCAAACTGTCTGTAGTTAGGTGTCGGAAGCTAAAATGAAGAACTAAATTTAATAAAAGACAAAACAATTTATGATCATTGGGATTTCGTTTTGCATCAATTTTGATTAAAAAAATGCGTCTTCCTTCAAAAAGATTTCTACCTAAGAAGTATGTGAATACATACTTTTATTCTGCCTAGTAGAAAATAAAGTATATCTAGTATTATTTGATGCAAGTTTACAATGAGGTCAAACAAATAAACTTATCCTACTTCTATGATATAAGAAGTTGGCTCAGTGGATAAGCACTTGCCGTAATAAAAATCGCCGTTAAATTCTATGTGCAAGTGTTTATTGCAAATATTATGTGCTGACTTAGCTGCTGAGTTACCATGTGCTTGGTGTTGAAGTAAAACATTGTGTGAAAACTTGCACCTGTGACAAATGAAAAAATATTTTGAAGATATGTGAAGTCCGCCAACACGCATTAAGGCAGTGTGGCGGAAAGTTCCTTGTCCTAAAATCTCAAAAATTACATGTGCCCAGAAGCGGAACTTTTCCTTTATTAACTATCTCACTATTCTACTATTTTCTATTATTATTATTTTCCTAAACAATTTGGTTTTTTTTGAACCTGTAATTGAGGTGACGCTTATCAAGTTTCTTTTTTAATTTAATTACTCCAAAAATGTCATTGTGTATTCACTTTGTCGTTGCAAAGAATTAATTTAAAAAAAAACAGTGATATTACCTTACTTAGAAACTATTAGAAAGTTCGAGTTCTGTGAAAATTGCTGAAGACTGACTGAAGACATTGTTTTTTGTTTCTTTACTATTATAAGCCAGTGCTTGTCCACTATCGTGGTGATGCAGCCGATAGTAAAGCGAAATATAAAATGTTCAGGTCTTTTAAGACTTTTAAAAATCGTAGAATGTAACTTTTGTTTAGACTTTTAAAAAACAAAGAATAATTTTTTTTATAGAATAGGGTGACAAACGAGCACACAGTCCACCTGATGGTAAGTGGTTACTGTGACTCATAGATATCTACATCTATCCTCAATAAAGACTCAAGATGCAGATGCGTTGTCACCCGTGAGGACTAAGATGGAATGCCTCTTTGCCAGTAAAAAGGGTCTCCGGTTCTCTACACTCACCATACGAAACACAGAAACGTTAAGCTGCTATTTTACGCTGATTTTCTGCGAGAGCGTGGTCCACCCCGGTCGAGCCGACCCATTCGTGCTACAACTATACTACTAATATAGCTGCAGCATGGCTCTACCACGTATAGCATGAATAGCACGTACCACGTATACCACGTATAGCAGAATGTGTACTCTTTTGTTACATTTTGAAATTAGTAAAATAAGTCATCTTAAAAAATACACGTAATATTGATTTTGTGTTAGATGATGTGCTGTTTGATTGGCTGTTTGTTGTAATTACTTATATTTTAATATATATTCTGTAAAACGAAATTGTACAACCAGTGCGTGTTGCCAGTGATGACTTACGGATCTGAGACGTGGTCCTTCACTGCTGGCCGTATGAGGAAGCTCAAGGTCGCTCAACGAGCTATAGAGAGGGCTATGCTCGGGGTTTCCCTGCATGATACACTTAGAAATGAGGATATCCGCAGTAGAACCAGAGTAACCGACATAGCCCAACGGGTTCGTAAGCTGAAGTGGCAGTGGGCCGGCCATATAGCTCGAAGAACCGACAACCGATGGGCAAGAAAGGGTCTCGAGTGGCAACCTCGTACCGGTAGGCGAAGTGTAGGGCGACCCTTCACTAGATGGAGTGACGAACTGGTAAGACATGCAGGAAGTCAATGATGCAGGTGGATCAGGACCGTGCTTTTTGGCATTCCTTGGGGGAGGCCTATGTTCAGCAGTGGACTTATGAAAGGCTGTAATGATGATGATGATGATGATGATGATTCCATAAAATGTCTACCAAATTGGAAATTAGTTTTGAGTTACTATTGTAATTCTAGAAAAAAGTTATTTTATTTTTCACAACATCTACATATTTACAGTCTACCACAAGTTCACTACTGATATAGACCTCTCCCAATCACTACTATAAAACAAGAACCGGAGCCCCATAAGGCCATCAATGAAAGACCACTTCTCAGATCCATATGTCATAGTTGGCAAAACGATACGAAAGGAGTGTTTGAATATAACAGTAAATATTTAAAAACGACTTAAACGGCACAATGTTTTATCATAATATAACATACCTAATATTTTCTCTATTTTAAGTACATTACCATAAACATAATATCTATAATTTCTCACCTTGACAACGGTAAAAGGATGCCATTCTAGTAGCGACACATCCAAACACTGCAGCAGTATGTACTGGCCCTTTCGACAGTTGAACCATTCGTGGGGACAGCTCACTGTCACGCTCAGTGTTCGGCCGGGCATATGAGTCACCTGGTTCAATTCATTAAATTAAAACACTGACACATCACTAGCAACACCAATTAGAATATTATTCATGACACATGACACAGAAGTTTATTTATAATTGTGTTTATGTTATCTTGGCAGAATTATTGTGACATAACCACAATACCAAGGGCCATATAGACAAAATAAAAAAATTATAAATAATTTTTTTTTATTAAGCGTAGGTATATTTTATCTCAGTAAATATTTTCATTAGTGGTAGTTTAAATCAGACCTGTAATACGATTCTGTAAATAAATATTATAAATTATAACTCAATTTTATTTATTAATTAATTAGTTTATTTTTAAGAAATATTTTTTTATTAAACGATATTTTATTCAGATTTTGCAAGTATTAATTTGCATTAAAGATGGTTCCAAAAAAACCACCATAATTTTATATAAAATTAACTTGCAATAAAGTTTTCCAAGACCTAATCTTTAATTATTGTATTTAAAATTTCTTATGATAAATGTCACTGGATGCAAGTAGCTAATAACCGTGTTTTATAGCATTTCTTAAGGGAGGCCCATGTTCGGCAGTAGACTTGTTATGGGCTGTAATGATGATGAGGATGACGAAATTATGGTCTTAATTTCAGAACGAATTAAAATTAACTTGTTTTTCATAAACCAACATACATTTGACGTATAAATGTTTACTGACAAATATTTCTTAGACAATAAATATTTTTAATACTTAGATTTTTGAAAACGTATAAATATAAATTTCCATAGTAGAGCGCATATCGTGGAACGGATATTAAATTCGCACAAAAATGTTAATTGACTTTCGATGCCAACTGTATGAATGTGCCTAAGAGGCTTATGCAAAGTATAATCGGTTACTGGACTAAATAGCTGACGACACAGCTGTTTATTTTAGATTAAAATTTTCTGCTTCATTTAAAAGAAGTGTTCGTGAAGGATTATATAAAAGAATATTTAAAACACGGCTCTATTCACTGCTATGAATATACCTGCTTATAAATTATAAAATATTTAGTTAGGGTTAAGACACACTGAGAGGCGTGGTAGCTCAAAGGTTTATCCTTTTCCTTTCCGAAAATAAGATGTAGCCTCTGCTTGGCAGTAGGCAGTAGGTTGTAAAAGTAACAACGAGCCTTAAATTTGATTAAAAGTGAACGCGTATTTATCAGCACCGTACGCGCCGCACGCGCCGTATAAATAATAATTTTTTTTCAAATATTTGCATTTGATGGATAGATCGTCTTACGCATGTCTTGTCTGACGACTCATCATTACCTACACAGTAAAAGTAAATACTCCTGAAATGAAGAAAAATATATTTCGAAACGTATAAATGAGTTAATGGTGGAGTGCTCATGTTGCCAGTAATTGAAACTTAAATCTACTTAACGACTATAAAAAACACTAGATACTCTAAACAATATTTCTCCACTGGAAGGGTAGTCGAAACCACTAGTTTTAGTAGAAAATCCACTAAGTGGGCAACATTAGGCAACACTGAGTATCAGCACGTGTCGAACGTGCCGCATTATATGACGTCAACAGCATGCCTTCATCAATATTCTGTTACCTCTCACATTTTGTAAAATACGGCGCGTACGGTACGGGTGAAATGTGGGAGATTTCATATGATTTCATACAACGAATTCTAAAATGCGGCGCGTAGGGCGCGTGCTGCGCTACGTTGCAGACAAATGTACGTTCACCTTTAAAGCTAACACAAACACACAGTGTTTGTATGTGTGAGTATAATGCATAACAAAACAATATATTTACAGCCAAGGTTAAGGCTGAATATAACGCACAGACGTTTCGTGTACGTAACAATTGCTTTTTTTTATAGGAGAGGGGCAAACCAGCATGCGGCTCACCTGATGGTAAGAGACTACCGCCGCCCATGAACAACTGCAACACCAGGGAGGGAATCGCAGATGCGTTGCCGGCCATTTAAAAAGGAGTACGCTCTTTTCTTGAAGGTCCCTAAGTCGTATCGGTCCGGAAAAATCGCTGGTGGTAATCGATTCCACAAGGAAGTCGTGCGAGGAAGAAAACATCTTCTGAATCGCACAGTGGTGGACTGCCAATCATCCAGATGGTGTGGATGGTATCGGGAGTTCTGCCGCGATTTGTGTTCGTGAAATTTGGCGGCTGGGATGAATCCGAACAATTCCTCAGAGCACTCCCCATGGTAGATGCGAAAGAAAATGCAAAGGGGTGCAACATCTCTTCGCAGTGCCAATGAATCGAGCCGATCGGAAAGTGCTCGGTCGTCGACGTTTCGAGCCGCTCTACGCTGGATGCGGTCAAGTGGAAGGAGCTGGCACTGGGGAACCCCTGCCCAGAGATGGGAACAGTATTCCATGTGAGGCCGAACCTGCGCCTTGTAAAGTTGCAGGCGGTGTGCCGGCATGAAATACTGTCCCGCTCTGCTGAGCACGCCAAGTTTTTAGAGGCCAATTTGGACTTCTCTTACAAGTGACCACGAAACTGCACGTCACTCGATATGTCGACTCCGAGGATACCGATACTGGCTGAGGCAAGAAGGGGAGTGCCTTGAAACTGAGGAGATACGACAAAGGGGTTCTTTTTAGCGGTAAACGTGCAAACTTGTGTCTTCTGAGGATTAAACTGGACTAGATTTAGTCGCCCCCAATCCGAGACTTTTTTCAGCAAAGATTCGACTTCAGACACAAGTTTGTTCCGGTACTCGGCGACGTTTTCCCGAGAAATATTGGCACGGCTGGTGTATAAAGCATCACCAGTGCAGTCGTCTCCATAGCAATAAATGTTACTAGTTTGCAACATATCATTGATATGCAGAAGAAACAGCGTTGGTGATAGCACGCAGCCTTGTGGAACACCAGCGTTGATGGGCTTGTAATCGGAGCATGCACAGTCTACTACGACCTTGATGCTCCGATCTGCAAGAAAACTGGTGATCCAATTGCACAATTTCTCGGGAAGCCCATAGGAAGGCAGCTTCGAAAGAAGCGCTTTGTGCCAAACCCGGTCGAAAGCCTTCGCTATGTCCAAACTAACGACTAACGCCTCCCCCTTGGACTCCACTGCCTCCGCCCATCTATGAGTCAGGTAGACCAGAAGATCACCAGCTGAGCGACCTCGACGGAAACCGTACTGGCGGTCACTAATCAGCTGGTGATTCTCAAGGTACCGCATGAGCTGGCCATTAATAATCGTTTCCATTACTTTGGAGAACAAGGAGGTGATAGCGATAGGCCTGTTGTTGGACGGATCTGAGCGGTCGCCTTTTTTAGGGATCGGGTTCACCAAAGCTGTCTTCCATGAGTTCGGGACTACGCCTAGAGTGTAGGAGTACCGAAAAAGACGCGTTAAAACCGGTGCCAACTCCGGAGCACACGTCTTCAGCACAATAGGCGGAACTCCATTAGGCCCACTCGACTTGTTGACGTCCAGGGAAAGGAGTGCTTTACGCACCAAGCGCTGTGTAAACAGCACTTCCCGCATGGAGCACTCACACCGCGGGATGGTCAGCGGTGTGTTCCCCCCGTCATCTAGAGTCGAGTTGGAAGCAAAAAGAGAGCCAAGCAGATCGGCTTTCTCCTTTGCGTCATGGGACAGTGAGTCGTCCACCCTGTACATAGATGGCAGAGATGGCTGATAGAAGTTCCCTTAGACAGCCTTGGCGAGAGACCAGAGCGCACGTGTTCCCGAAGGGAGGCGAACTAGTTTCTCGCCAATTCTGCCGATGTGCTCTGACTCTGCCTTGGCACTATTGAAGGACCTGGAGGCGGAATTATACTTCTTTTTAAGAGCGCTGGTGTTTACATCCCGGGACGTTGATGCGACAGCCCAGGCCTGGTAGCACTCCTGCTTATAGCGTGATGCTATTTTACAGGAGCGACCAAACCATGCCTCCGATCTGCCTCCGATGGGCACCACAGAGGATGGAATAAAAAACTCCATACCCTGGAGTACCACATCAGCAACAGAATCGGCAACAACGCTGGGATCTTCCGGCAAGAAGCAAACCCGCCCCCAAGGGTAGGATGCAAAAAAAGACCGCATCCCGTCCCAATCGGCCGACCTATAGTGCCAAACACGGCGGCAAGCTGCAGATCGCAACTGCGATGGGAGCGCGAGTGGCACTGTACTCCGGATCACACAATGGTCCGAAGAGCCCAGAGGGGCATCGACGGAGACCTGATATCCATCCGGATGAGAGGTCAGTAGAAGGTCCAACAGGGAAGGTACATGATCCTCCACCTACCCTCCTGGGGTAGTCTTCTGTTCAATTCCACTACCATGTTGATGCGGGGGGGGGGGGGGGGGAATCCGGCCACCTGCACTCACCAAGCGGAACGCAGAGGTAAACCTCTACTTCACGCTGGTATTCTGTGAGGTCGTGGTACCACCCCGGTTCGAGCCGGCCCATCCGTGCGACAGCAAAAGCTGCCGCGTGGCTCTACCACTTCACTTCACTCTGGTTATGTACTCGGATAGCCATCGTAGCCCTACTGTACAAGCACTTCAGCACTTCGATATACCGACAGTCAACTTGGAACCGTTGAAAGGACTGCAGCACCGCCAAAAATTCGACGGAATCAAAGGCTTTCACATAGTCCACATTCCACATAGGCAAGATATAGTGGCAGATTGTACTCCTCGGTCTTCTGTACAATTTTCCAAAGGATATGTAGATACATAGTTAAACAATACAAATAACAATATCCATGAATCATGATGAATGGGATAATTACATTTTTTGGAAACATTTACGAATTATATGTAAAGTCGTAAATCTAAAATACCACGCTTGATACTCGTAAATATTACTTACATTACACGAACAAGCAAAGTTCAATCTCTCGTGCAAATAACATAAAAACTAGTTTTTACACAATTAATAGTGACAGAGTAGCACACAAAAAATATTAACATCAATTAAGAATCAAAATGTGGAGGCGGTGACACTCAAAAGAGATGGAATGCCACGTTACCAGTAAAAAAAATTTGTCGAAACATACCTCCGGAGGCGCAAGCGATCATGGTCCTTCCCCGATCAAACAGACCCATTAGTGCTACAGTGATAATACATATAGCGTAAGCGTAAAATTGTTAAGGTGACATAATATCTGAAAAACAATATGAGTATAATGCGAGGACATATTATGGCTTACGCTTAAGCCAAAAGACATTATGGAATTATTGGACGGACTTTTGAACAATAATTGGACCAATTTTTAAATTATATACATATTATAATACTAGCTGTGCCCGCGGCGTAGCTCGCGTATATAGGTTTTACTTAAAGAATTTGACGTTTAGGTAAGAGAATATTAAAAGATTTATATCATTACTGTATGAATAAGTGGCACCAAAATAAATCGTTATGCTCAAAGTTCTGAGTCGTTTGTGATAGAACTTCTGTGTAAACGACGTTAGAAGTAGACAGCCGGGGCGTACAGAAAAATGTTACGGGAGCTACTAACGCGGGAAAAAGCAACATAGAGTTGGCCATGTGCAAAACAGTCAGTACTGAGGTCCACTCCTGCAACGCGTAAAGTTTGACCTTGCGCTTTATTTACGGTCATCGGTCATCGCATAGCACACGCTGACTGGGAATGGGAAGTGGGAACAGAACACGCTTAGAACTGAAAGGAATTATTTGATATAAGTTGGATTCTTGGTATAAAACAACATCATGACATTTTGTTATTGTTGCAATTTTGCTACATTTAGCTTGGGCGTACGTATCTTTTTTCTGATATCTGTTTTTGATGATGTTTGTGCTGTTAGCTTACACCCTACACGGCTCTTTCAGCTTGAATGGACTCGTTAACGTACAACGCCATCTATTACGTTCTTCGTGGAAAACATCCTTTAATAATTTAAAAAAGCCTTTAAACAAATTGAACCTACATTTCAAAATAATAATCAAAACTTTCGATAGAATTAACCAATTTTAATAAAACAAAGATTAAATAAACTGGAAGATACGCTTTATGATTTTCTAAACAATTTCTTTGAAAAAAAGATGTTTACTTAAGACGTGATGCGTTCATAAACAAACAGACAGACAGACAATTCTAAAAATTATAAAAATGTACTTATTTAATGAGTTTCAGTCTCCATAATGATTTTAGTCACAAATTAATATACTATACAATGTACAGAATCAGACACAGCATGTGATTACCGCATGTATAGAGATATAAGGATAGATGGCGCTGTTAAAATCAATTCTAAAAATAAAAGAGATTAATTGACGCGATTGATACAATAAAAAAACTTAAAAGAACTTATAAATCAGGCCTACATCGTAAGCAAGAAAGAAAGTTTGTTCCTCGCCGAAACCAACGAAATTGTTAATAGCTCTTTTAAAATTCGATTTACCATGTAGAGTACTCGGCGGTAAAGGATAAATGACATTGTCAATACACAGTAGGGCAGCGAGTAATTTAAAGATTAACAGCAAATATGAAAAGTAATTTACAGAAAAAAACCACAACCTGCCTTCTTGCATGACATTTGTGCAACACCACCATCTATCGATGAAATGGGTTAACTATTGTACTTTCGATTTAGATAATAAGGTTAATATATTTTTTAATATATTTATTACGTTCTTTATGCAATACTTTTGTTTACTGCGTTTTAGATATAATTACATCATTATAGAACATTATTTTACATCATTTAATTATGTTATGATTTATAATATGATATTAGTATAAAATGTACTTGATGACTCAACAAACGCCACCATTGAACAAATTCGTACCTATACTTTGTAGCCATACTTCAGAATATTTATCATAACTTTTGATGGAATGAACTAATTTTAATGAAATAAAGACTAAATGTAACTTGAAGATACACTTTATAAATTCTTTAACGATTCTTCTGATATAAATTGGTACTTTATACGTGATACGTTAACAAACAAACAGACAGACAGACAGACAGACAGACAGACAGAAAATTCTAAAAATGGTAGAAATGTATTTAATTACTTAGTTTTAGTACCACTTAATCACTTTTATTATATAAATCTAAAATGTACAGACATCGGCTATTTACATTTTTATTATATGTATAGATTTTATATTAATTAGATGATTATTTAAAAAATAAAAATGCATGAATACAATGCGCTTACTTAGACTTATTATACTTAGGTATATCAATGTTTTTTAAGGTTAAATTGTAACGTTAAATATTAAACATGTAGTGGTGATTTAATAATATCCACTACCCCATATCGCCCCGAAGGTGTCGTAAGAGGCGACAGAGGGAAAATGAAACAGGAGATGGGCAGCATCAGCATCTTCCTGAAAACAACTCAAAATAATGAAAACTGCGGTTGCTCTATGTCTAAATCCCCTCATGAGGCAATCTATGAGGGAGACCAATGTTTAACAGTGGACTTTTTTAGGCTGTAATGGATCGATGAATGTAAATTGTTACTATTGGGGAAAAAAATCTAACTTTGAGTTTCTTGCCACTTCTAGAAGAAGACTAACTTTCTAACGAGTCACAAGATCTGCCGCAGGATAGATTTGTTGAAGTGCTTTGTAAAGGCCAATTTTGAATAAAAATACTGACTATATGAAACATTTATATCCATGGAACTTACTATAAACAAGTTACTTACATTTAACAGTTGAACTCCCGCGCGATTTCTCGAAAATATCCTCCACAGAAGGTCAACAAGAAAGCAGCTGAGCGGCAAGGCCATCCAAAGCCATGTCTGAAACAACACCATTACACCCTTTTTAAACTGAATTTATAAAAAACCTCAATAAATTATTGCTATGTTATCAATAACAGCATTAGCTCAACAATTTTTTTTATTTATTCTTAGAAAGAGTGTTACATTATTTACATTTTAAATTTTGCCAAACTGTAAGCCAGTTTGTCGGCAATAATAATAAATATTGCTATGGTGCGTGCATCATTTACGTAATATGTCTGTCATTGGCCGTCGTAGGTGACTCATATTTGAAGACATTATAATGAAATTCGAATCATCCGCCGATGTCGTCAAAATCGAATCAATGTAGAATATGCCCCACTATTGACCGACAGACCGTTTCTGATTCCGAAAAAGTGTCCTGCAATAGTAACTATTGTGATCCAACAGAAATATATTGTAATAATTAATAAGTAGTCCTGAAATGATGTTCAAAGTATTATTCTAGTATTAGTATATCCCAGAATTCAAAGTGCTTAGTACCTATACTTGTAAAATTCTGTTCCATGACGCACCATTTCGTTTGAATCAGAAACCAAATCCGTCACTTTCACTTTTTTTTATAGGATAATGGTGACAAACGAGCACACAGTCCACCTGATGGTAAGTGGTTGCTGCGGCCCATAGACATCTACATCTATCCTCGTTTGCGAATTAAAATGCAGATGCGTTGTCACCCGTGAGGACTAAGATGGAATGCCTCATTTCCAGTAAAAAGGGCCTCCGGCCTCCTGCACTCATAAAGCGAAACGCAGAGACCTCTACTTCACGCTGGTATTCTGTGAGGTCGTGGTACCACCCCGGTTCGAGCCGGCCCAACCGTGCGACAGCAATTCTGCCGCGTGGCTCTATCACTGTTAAAAGTGTAGCTTACGTTGTATTGTAACTACAAGCAGACTAAATATTCAAAGTTATCACATATTAAGAACGTACTATACATTAATAAACCATTGGGCGGAATTAGTAGTTTTCAGATACGAAATTTTTCCTTGTAGTGGCAGTGTAAGAATATCTACTACCTACATATCGTTCTATAAGTGTGTCGTAAAAGGCGACAGAGGGAACCTGAAACTGCCAAGCGTGGCGATTATGACAATCCGGGGGGTATTTGGGTGGGGTATTTAGTGTGGCAGCTATGAGGAAGGTTCAAATGTGGTATTTTATAGGCTGTAATGGTGATACTAATTTAACGACACGGGTTGTTAAATCAGAATAGCTCTTGACAGCTAACCTCTTACTTCGTAGTTAAATGTAACATAAAGAGGTAATTTAACTAATATACCAGACTCCGTTCCAAATTTAATTAAGATGCACTAAACGCAACGTACATGGTACGGTCTTATTAAATTATATTTGCTGAAGATTCTCCTTTCAACCTTTAATGGGCAGATGGAATCTTGAAATACGGTAATTAAGTACTACATGCACGATTGGATGTAAAAAATAAAAATAGTGCATGTAATTGTGTGCACAAGTACGAAGTGAAACTTCTTTACGACATAATATCATTCTTCTTTTATCTTATATTTTACATAACTACTAGGTTAAATAATACTATATAATACGTGACGTTTTGTTTTTTAATATCGTACTAAATTTTTCCACTACGACAATAAAGAAGTTTCACTTCAAAATTAAATGGATAAAAAGTAAGTAAGCTTTAAGCAAGTAATAAATCTAAATCCCATTAAACAAACAATGTAACAATATATGCCTCGTAACTAATTTGCTTTTAAAATATATACTCGTAACATAAACAAGGCTCATTCTTTTACACTCGTAGAGTATAGAATTTCATTTTGAGGATCTTGGTCTGAAAAAAAGTTGTGCCAATCTTTGCGCTGCTCATTGTTTTGAACAGGTTACATAAAATTACATATAAACATTGATATTATATATAAAAAAGAATATCATACCATACCAAAAAAATTAAATCTCGAAGGCGTTATTTTTCAGCAAAAACGCAATTTAGGGCAGCGCGGTCACATAAGTAAATAAATATTTACTCATGTGGTGCGGTGGACTCTTCTAACCCTTAAACCCTTTTAAAAATGAGTGGTGGCCTGTACCTCAAAAAAAAAGAAACATTCTACAAACGGCACGTTTGTTTTTTTATAGACTGTTTCTTTTTTTTTAGTTTTACTATCATTAAAACATCTTTTAAAAGGTATTATTCTCATTGGAACGTCTAAACTTATTACGTACTTGTATATTAGTCAAAAATAAGGAAAAGTCAAATGCATTAATTGAGTCACTATTGTTCGTTTGTAACCTGTTCAAATGAAAAGCAAACTAAGTACGAGAGAACAGTTTAGAAAGAAGTTTTAAACCGAATCATACATTAAACGAAGGAACTTAAAAAATTACGTTCTTTAAAATATATAAAATGTGTGATATGAGACTTCGTATTCCACTTTGTATTTCATTTAAATCATCAGTCTGCCTTGACTATCAATTGTAGTAACAGACATCAACTTTTTTTCACGACTGGATTTGGATAATTTCCGCCACAATGTGTTGTAAAATGTCCATTATGAAAACCTAACTAAAACTAGTAGTAGAAATTAGATACTGAAACATTGTGCTAAAATAAACACAGCAAAATATAGCGGTGACTCGAGTGCAGTTTATTACGAGAGTATTTCGGACTTTAATTTACAAAGAGAACGTACCTAATACATATTGATCTCTTAGATAATAATACAGGTTGAAAATGTATGAAACTTAACAATTGTGTGCACATGGCATCGTGAACACTGTATGCGTAATAAAGTTTTGCCGAAACCGGATCTGACTCAACTTTTTTTAGGAACAATCGCATATATTATTGTATCCGCGCCGTACGCGAAATATGAAATTATATCATATACCAACATTAGATTTTGCATACTGACCGGGAATTTCAATTTTTATGTTAATAAATTTCTGTTAATAAAAAGTAATTTTTATGTTAATAAAGAGGTTTTAAAAGTCAAACTTGCACATAAAGCTCAGTTTAGACTACGCAATAACATATAGAACGTAGCAAATATTATATTGCACCACAATATCGCTTTGCTTTATTATTTATGGACAAGTTTATAATATGCTGCACTATATATTATTGAAGGGCTTGCTTATTATATTTTAGCTTATTAAGTTACTCATTTAGACATTTAGAATAAATAATTTGATTAATTTGAATATATTTTAGTAGTATAAAATGGTATTAGTAGTATAAAATGGTATGCAGCGTGGTAGAGCCATGCTGCGGCTATATTAGTAGTATAGTTGTAGCATGAATGGGTCGGCTCGACCGGGGAAGGACCACGCTCTCACAGAATACCAGCGTAAAATAGCAGCTTAACACTGCTGTATTTCGTATGGTGAGTGTAGAGAACCGGAGACTCTTTTTACTGGAAAAGAGGCATTCCATCTTAATCCTCACGGATGACAACGCATCTGCATTTTGATTCGCAAACGAGGATAGATGAAGATGTCTATGGGCCACAGCAACTACTTACCATCAGGTAGACTGTGTGCTCGTTTGTCACCCTATCCTATAAAATAATATATAGGATATTATATAATTCAACATTTGGCTACAATTATTGCCTACCGCACATGGCTACAGATGCGTTGTGACGTCTGAGGGCTAGAATGGAATGTCTCACATTTTGTATACTGGCTCCATATCGTTCAAACCAGATCATAGCCAGAGCATGCACAGCTATTTGGCAGCAGAAATAGGTAATAGGATGGTACCTAACCAGCCTGAACGGATTTCTTTCTAGGCACAAAAGGAGTCCTACCTAAACTAAACAAAACTTCTGTCATGGACAGAAACTAAATCGTTGCAAACGTAGTAACGTAATGTTATAAATGAAGTTAAGGATTAACAAATAATTGCTATTTTCGTTACTTCTATAGCTAACAGTTAGAGTTTATGACCCGTAAGTTCCGGTCCCACCCTCATTCGGGTAATTCTGTTTTATCTTTCAATATATCTTCTAATCAGTTTGACAGAGTGATTGAATACCAACAATTACTATGGTTCATTGATTTGCTAATATTGCTATTAATATTGTTAATATGTTCAAATAACATTGACAATTGACAATTGACGTCAAACATCAGTAGTCGAGCTGCTTAAAGTTTAAAATTAAAGATACTTATTTTATGTGTGTATTAAGGAACCACGCTGTACCTCTATTACGGTTGCAGTATGCATGGGTTCGGTCGATCATAGAAGGACCAAGCTCGCACAGAATACGTGGGATACTTGTACTTCTCTAAAAAGTTGGTACTGTATTAAATGTAGTTATTTCCAGTTGGTGGTAATTGGCGATGTACTCTTGTTTAGTAAAATGAAAAAGTTAGCACTGCAGTAAATGTAGTAATTTCCAGTTGGTGGTAAATGGCGATGCACTCTTGTTAAGTAAAACGAAAAAGTTAACACTGTAGTAAATGTAGTAATTTCCAGTTGGTGGTAAATGGCGATGCACTCTTGTTAAGTAAAACGAAAGAGTTAACACTGTAGTAAATGTAGTAATTTCCAGTTGATGGTAAATGGCGATGCACTCTTGTTCAGTAAAACGAAAAAGTTAACACTGTAGTAAATGTAGTAATTTCCAGTTGGTGGTAAATGGCGATGCACTCTTATTTAGTAAAACGAAAAAGTTAGCGCTCTAGTAAATGTAGTAATTTCCAGTTGGTGGTAAATGGCGATGCACTCTTATTTAGTAAAACGAAAAAGTTAGCACTCTAGTAAATGTAGTAATTTCCAGTTGGTGGTAAATGGCGATGCACTCTTATTTAGTAAAACGAAAAAGTTAGCACTCTAGTAAATGTAGTAATTTCCAGTTGGTGGTAAATGGCGATGCACTCTTATTTAGTAAAACGAAAAAGTTAGCACTCTAGTAAATGTAGTAATTTCCAGTTGGTGGTAAATGGCGATGCACTCTTATTTAGTAAAACGAAAAAGTTAGCACTCTAGTAAATGTAGTAATTTCCAGTTGGTGGTAAATGGCGATGCACTCTTATTTAGTAAAACGAAAAAGTTAGCACTCTAGTAAATGTAGTAATTTCCAGTTGGTGGTAAATGGCGATGCACTCTTCTTTAGTAAAACGAATAAGTTGGCACTGTAGTAAATGTAATAATTTCCAGTTGTAGGTAAATGACGATGCACTCTTGTTTCGTAAAACGAAAAAAACTTAGTAAAATGTTATGTAGTATTCGTCTAGTCAGAAAAGACTATTGAAGGAAAATTGTTTCAGCCCTTAACATATAAACTGCAAGAAAAAAAAGAGAGACTTACTTTCGATTTTATGGCCACAAACTTAGGTGTGTAAGGCGTTGAACTATTCGTCCAGCTTTTTATTTGACTAGGGAAAAGACTAGTGTTAGGTTCATCTAAGACTTCTTCCTTCAGGACACCACTGAAACAAAAGAAATTTCTTTAAAAATCCACTTAAGTCATGATTCGTAGATATTTTGTTAAATTAATTATTGTAAATGTAAGCGAAATATCTATATCGAGAACTATCTCAAGCAAATAGCCCACAATTGGAAATGGACTTCTCCCATAATAGAGAAGATGTGTATTTTTAATCAATAGGTAATACTTTAGGTTTAGGGCTAGTTTCACTTAAATTTAAAGAAAAAAATCCTTCGATAACGGTGCGAAAATTGAGCTAAAACTTGTGTATGTATTATAGTATTATATGGTAGAAACCTTAAGCTTGTGATAGTCCCTAATCCACATAAAAGGGGGGGGGGGGGAAGATTTAACTAATCTTAGCACCGACTTCGGAAGCTATTATGTGGAAATTATTTTATTCTTTTTAGTTTTTGAATTCGGTATTCAATTTTTTACCGACTTCAAAAAGGAGACGGTACTCAATTCGACTGTATGTTTTTTTATTTGTGTTACCTCATAACTTTTTACTGGGTGACTCGATTTTGATGATCCTTTTTTATTCGAAAGCTGGTGCTTTACATGTAGTCCCATATAAATTTCGTCAAGGTCTGACCAACAGTCTTTGAGTTATTCTTAATAATTTATATTGAAGTCGGTTGTACATAATTTTAAATTTTTAATTATTATTATAAGTGTCATTTTTAGATTCTCGCCATTGGTGGATCTACTATAAGTGCTTGCCGTAAAATGTCACAGTGCAAAAAAAACAGATTCCCTTCCCTGCCTGCCAGGCAACATGAATGGTCAATGGAATGATTAATTGCAATTTTAAATGCTGATATATCACTGATTTTAAATCATATTATAATTAAATATTATTTTTATAAAACCTAAGTGACGAATGAAGTTACGGCCACCTGATTCTAAATGATTACTGTTTACAAATCCGTTGTCACCTTTGTGAACTAAGATAAAATGCCTCACAGTGTGTAATCATACCTATATAGAATAAGATTGACAAACGAGCACACAGTCCAACTGATGGTAAGTGAATTCCTATGGACATCCACATCTATATCCTCGATCAAGAATCAAAATGCAGATGGCTTGTCACCCCTGAGGACAGAGATAGAATACCTCTTTTTCAGTAAGAGGTGTCTCCGGTTCTCTCTGCACTCATCATACAAAACACAACATTATTAAGCTGCTTTTTTGCGCTGGTATTCTGTGACTGGTTCTCTATATCCTTCAGACCCGACCACAGTAATACAAGAAATGTTGTTTGGCAACAGACATAAATAAGAGAGCGGTACCTATTTACAACGTGGTGGTTTACAACATACTGCAGCTATATTAGTAACTATAGTTGTAGCACGAATGGGTCGGCTCGACCGGGGAAGGACCACGCTCTCACAGATTACCAGCGTAAAATAAGAGCTTAATGCTGCTGTGTTTCGTATGGTGAGTGTAGAGAACCGGAGACCCTTTTTACTGGAAAAGAGGCATTCCATCTTAGTCCTCACGGGTGACAACGCATCTACATTTTGATTTGTAGTAGAGGATAGATGTAGATGTCTATGGGCCGCAGCAACCACTTACCATCAGGTGGACTGTGTGCTCTCTTGTTACTCTTATAATATAAAAAAACCTAGCCAGATGGATTCAAACGGAATCTTACCACGTAGTAATCGAGGACATGTGAAGTCACCTAACACTTTCTTACCTACCAAAAACCCCTCTCAGTAATGAAAGGATGTCTGTTATCTCTATATATCTTTATATTCAACAACTACGTTTATTTTGTAATTTATATTCTATCTATAACTACTTTTACTGAAAAGAGGCATTCTATCTTAGTCCTCACGGCTGACAACGCATCTGCATTTTAATTCGCAAACGATATAGATGTAGATGTCTATGGGCCACAGCAACCACTCACCATCAGGTGGACTGTGTGCTCGTTTGTCACCCTTATTATATAAAAAAAAAAAACTAGCTGGTACCGGGCGCGTTGCAGCCGCAGAACAAATAATTTCGATACCTATATCGTTTTAAATTTGGAAGAGTTATATTGTTTAATGACGAATAATAGATAATACACTCATTGAAATCACAACATTCAAATAAATTTGTCGGTAGGGTACGCGCTCTACCTACAGTAAGTTAATTGTACTATGCCTATAATCTTCGCGCAAATACAAGCAATAAGTTGACAAAGTTTTGCATAAAATAAGAACAAACAAATATTAATTTTTATGTTTTAGATTAGATTGAATAGATTATATAATAACATTCATACAATCAGTTCGGTTAAACAAAATAAATGTAAATTAAATAGAAATATTTTAGGCCCAAATGTATTGTGAATGTCTTCTTATATTGAACATTTATCTGATATTTCACTTACCTTAAAGGATGAATCATCAGGAACACCATGAAGGGCAGATACAATTGATGGGTGTACCAGAAGGCGTTATATATTCTACGTCGGACTACTCGCAATGATGTCAGCCCCATGCTTATGGAGATGGTTAACAACATAACGCCTGTTACTCCCGTAGTGCTCATTAGCAAATGTAAAGGATTCTAAAAACAAGATAATATAATATTATTGTTTACTAGTAATTCGCCCCGGCTTCGCACGGATTATATCTAGATTTCGACAACAGCGCCACCTACCGAGTCCAATTGTGAATTTAAACCAGCCAGGGACCCATTCAAATACACACCAAAAATTTCATTATAAATCGGTCGAGTCGTTTTTGAGTTTTAACGAGACTAACGGACAGCAATTGATTGTAATAGAAAGAAATTTATAGAAGGGCTATATAATATATTAAGGCGACAATCAAGCACACAGTCTAACTGATAGTAAGTGAATACTGTGGGCCATAGTACCAATAATACCAGTAAAGAGGGTCTCCGATTCTCTACATTCCTCATACGAAACACAACATTTATCCATTATATCCTTTGCAATGTGGTTGCCTAGTGGAGATCGCTTCTAAGCGATAAGGCCGCCAATTTTACCTATAAATAATTTGATGTTTATTTTTCCTTTCTGTTTTTCTCGTCTACAATAAAGTATATTTCATTAATTAATTCATTCATTCATTCACAACAGCATTATGCTGCTATGTATGTATACTGTCGGTATTCTGAGCGAATGTGGTCCTTCCCCGATCTATTAGAGCTACAGCCATTGTTACATATGACTAAATATGGTATTCTCGCTTTTAAATAAATTGTTAGGAAAGCAACATATCTGAGAAACAAAATATTATATTGCAAAATGTGACGTCAGATAATAGAATATGATGGGGCAGACTTTGCTTTGCATTTGGACAATTTTTAAGGTTCCATACCTCAAAAAGAAAAAACGGAACCCTTATAAGATCACTTTGTTGTCCCTCTGTCTGTCTGTCTGTCAAGACCCTTTTTCTCGGGAACGCGTTTAGGTATCGAGCTGAAATTCTAAAGTCTACTGTCCCTTAGAGCTGTGAAAAAATCAAACTTCTAAGTCAACGCAATCAAAAAATACAGCCGTTTATGCGGTAATTTTTCGACATTCGCAAGGGAATAAAAACCTACAGGGTACTTCCCGTGAACTCATAATCTTGAAATTTGGTACGAAGCAACTTTTTATAGCACAGATAAAGGAAAAATTGCGAAAAGCATACATTTTTAGTTTCATCATATAATAAAAATATTTTTAATAATTTTAAACTTATATACCTACAGATTTGTTCGGAACCCTCGGTGCGCGAGTCCGACTCGCACTTTGCCGGTTTTTTTACTTTGAAATATTGATCATTATGCTGCCATTTTAAGCTGGTGTTCCTGTGCGTACGTGGTCCCGTTTTTGCCGACCCGTTTGTATTGTAACCAAAACACAGCTTCAGCGTGGCTCAGCCACGTGCAAAATGTTTGTATCTTATTAGTTATTCCTACTACAATAAAAAACATGTATTTCCTGCTGCAACGTTAATGGCTCCTTCATATTTCATAATGATGCAATATAAATAGTACGTCGTAAAACATTTGCAACTGTGAGAAAGCTCGTATTCAACTTTCAACAAAAAATACATAATAAGATATTAACTTTTGTATTTTTACTATTACTAACCATCGAATGACTTATACGTATTAGTTGTAGTTGCGATTTCGGCGGTCGTGTTTTCAAATTACAATTTATAATTTTAATTAAAACTTATCCTTATTATCCCAACTACCATCTAGGCAATTATAAATTAAGCCCTGAGAAAGTGAAAGCTCTTTTGTGCAATTGCAGGTAATAGCGATCTAGTTATAGCTATTAGGTACATACATCGAACAGTATATCACATTGAAAGTTGTACGGTTTTTGCTAGACCTAAATAGGCTCTGCCATATTATTTATGCGAAGAGTAAATGCTGGGCATTTACGCTTGGCGTAAAAACTGGCATCGAAGAGTAGCGTCAAAGATGCGAGACATCTTGTACTGCCATCGTGAATTCGTCGGCCAAAGGTAAAGATTGATCGTAAACCGGGAAAGACATGTCCTTCAGTGGACTAGTGCGGGCCAATGTAGATGATCAGCATTACCAATAGGTGTAGGCTCTACGTTCACCAACCTGACTGTCCAGTGTGGTAATAAGAGATATTATCTTATATGTCAGGAATACCAGCTAACGTGTTTATGACTTGATAAGTATACCTATCGGTATACTATGCTTCGAAAAATATCTTTGAAACATTTCAGTTGATTTCACTTTTTATTCTGGAAAAATATTGGTATTTTCATAGAATTGTTTTCAACCCTTTTTCATAAACAAGGAAACTCTTCTAACACAAGAGACTAGGCACTAATGATGACTAATTACAGTTTCTCGGAAGTCCTCTCAACTAAATGAGTTGGATAGAGCGGGGTATTATTGATTAATGTTTTTAGCGTGCAAGGGCCCTCAAACTTTGTTTTCTCTATTGTTTCTTGAGCATAGAAAGTAATCAGCACCTTATAAGTTAATTATACTTTATACAACTATTTTTCATTTTTGCTTGTCATTATTAACCCGTAAAAGTCTACTGCCGTACATAGAACTTCACCATGGAAGGAATATAGTCAACACGAATAGCAGACAAAACTTTTTTGTCAGAATGACTTTCTCTTAAAATGATGAACGCCGCAATATTTTTAACTTAATATCGGAGATTCCGAGAGACTTTTTATAAAAATAAACTGATTATCACTTCATTCAAACTGATTTGAGCTGCCCGAGGTGTGGGCCGGATTAAAAATCTGTGCACAGTGAGGTTGGTTCATTTCGTGGTTATGCATAAAGAAACATTATTTGTTATTCTTGTTGAGGGTTTTAATTCTGTAGTTTTACGTTATTTTTTTTAATTCTATTGTTTTTTTTTTTTTTCGTCAATCATTCTATGTACTTATGTAGTACTTTACCACGATAATAAGTGTTTTCTTTCTTTCTGTTTTTGTTGATTTTTCGTAGTCGCACCTTATGTTATAATAATTGGTCGCAACTACACAGTTAAACGTTTGTGTTATGAGGGAAACGTGAAAATTTATACTAGATTCGAACAACGTATAATTATAACATCGAATATTTAGGTAGAAGGTTTATTCAGAATATGTGACAGTATTTAAAACGTTACCAAGGCGTTGGTCAACGCCCGGTCTATTCTCTATAAATAATTTAATGTGCTCCAAGGTAAATATCTCAAGAAAATTCACTTTAAAAAAAGATTTTGTTTTCTTTTTCTACCGACTTCAAAAACGATGAGTTACTCAATTCGACTGTATGTTTATTATGTGTGTTACCTTATAACTTTTTTCTGGATGAACCGATTTTATAATATTCTTTTTTTATTTGAAAGCTGGTGCTTCTCATGTCAAGGTCCCATATAAATTTGATCAAGGTCTGACCAATAGTTTTTGAGTTATTCTTGATAATTTATATTGAAGTCGGTTGTACAAATTTTTAAATTTTAAATTTTTTTGTCGTTTGATAATGAACGCCATACTAAACCAAGTATGATTTGTTAATAGTAAATTATGGTGCTCATACGTTGTGTCTGACTCATGTCTTGCGGACCCAATAATTGATGGTGATCGCGTCGGAATTTGTTACGATACTTGTGATCATATAGACAAGTTAAATAACTATCGAGAATTATTCGAAACAGAAAAAAAATCTGTGATTTGGAAGATAATGACGTTATTAGATTAACCAAGTTGATATTCTAATCATCGTTTGTGTGAGGCAGGAAATAATTCTCAAAACATACCTCTGTAGTTTATAATTAACTGTAAAGTCGAGACATCAACAATCAACGTTTAAAAAGCCACCACTAAGAAAATCAGACTGACATTCACATTCAATATATTCATTAACGTTCCCTTCTCAGACAGTGTTCCATTGAGCCTCAGTTCTTCTCAATGATCGTGCAAACACACGTCCAGACGAACGCGTACATTATAAAAGAGCCGTCGCACAATGAGCATCAGATGGGGCGTGTACCTACATCACGCCTTTGCACCCCCCTACATGAAGTGTTTGTTGTAGCACTACACCATTGTCAGTGACTATTCCCTAACTCACCGCTACTATCTCAATTGTGTAGGAATTCGCTCAGTTTATTTATCTATCGTTCGTATTGCTTGTTTTATTCTACGAGTACATTTCGTGGGCTGCTTTATTTGAATTTGTATGTTAACAAAGCGTTGTTATTTTGTACATTGCATCTGCATTTTAATTCTTAAACGACGATAAGTGTAGATGTTTATGGGCCACAGAATCCACTTATTTAAAAAAACATATATTAAGATAAATTATATTTAAAGAATAGTTGTGGGTAATTCGGTTTAATCTTACTATCTGTTTGTACTTTCACTGTCTGTTTGTATTGTAAAACAGTCTACTCTAACTGTCTGTGTGTCACTTACTAATTGTAAATTGATCTTTTTTAACCGTCTTCAAAAAGGAGGAGGTACTCAATTCAACTGTACGTCTTTTATGTGTGTTACTTCATAACTTTTTACTAGGTGAACCGATTCTGATGATTCTTTTTTTATTTGAAAGCTAGTGCTTCTAATGTGGTCCCATAATAATGGTCTTTAATAATAAATATTGAAGTCGCTTGTACAGAACTTTTAATTTTATCATAAACTACTGAATCGATTATCATGACTCATGGTATTCAATAAGTAAGTATGATTTGTTCTTGAAATACGCGAGGCGGAAAAATTACACCAATGAACACATACCGACTAAAAAGGGACTCTATAGACCATAAAGGAAAAAGATATATTGAAATCTGGACTTCAAATAATAATATATAACCCATTATAATCCCCCAGACCGAATTCCAGTCACGGCTGCCAGACTTAAAGAAGACAAGCCATCTGCGCGGACAGGAGTATAGCACACGAATGTCTTTAAGCTCAGGTGCAGTCTCTGTTTCCTCACTCTCATTATTGGATGGAGCGACAATTGCTCACAACCGGAGAGAGATCATGTGCAAGATGAACAGGTTTAAGTACTTTTCGAGGCGATTTTTGGTTTGATTCGGAATTCTACTCTAGGACCACATGATAGTCAGTCGCGCTTATGACCTATTTTAACCTATTATATAAGCCATTATAATAACGTTAAGAAGTTAACGAATTTAAGATACGAATGATTGGGCTCAAACGGAGAAGGACCACATTCGCATAGCTTAAAAAGGAGATTAACATACAATAGTACATAATATAACTTATAGAGGATAATATCATCGCTACCTTTTAACTTTATAACAAAATCTCTTCTTTATCTCTACATAGTATAAAACAAAGTCCCATCCCGTCGTCTGTACGCTTGGATCTTTTAAACTACGTAACGGATTTTGATGCGATTTTCATCATTAGACAGAATAATTTAGGATAAATATTTATATGCATAATACGAGTACAGATGTAGGTATATAATGTAGATGCATATTATATGTTATATAATTCTACTATCCGTGTGTATGTGACTGATTTTGATGAAACTTTTGTATGTTTTTTAGTTAATTAGAGAATGGTTTAGGTTCACAATTAGACCCGGTAGGTGGCGTTGTTGTCGAGATCTAGAAATCAACCGTGCGAAGCCAGACGGATCGCTTAAATATTCAACTTTGAAAAAGTATTAGCTCTTGCACAGGTTTTCGTTTTAAAAAAAAAAGATACAAATGATTTACACTAGAGTTTATGAGTTATGGTTTTTTTTTTATAAGATAAGGATGACAAACGAGTACACAGTCCACCTGATAGTAAGTGGTTGCTGCGGCCCATAGACATCTACATCTATCCTCTATTACAAATCAAAATGTAGATGCGTTGTCACCCGTGAGGACTAAGATGGAATGCCTTATTTCCAGTAAAAAGGGCCTCCGGCCACCTGCACTCACCAAGCGAAAGGCAGAGGTAAACCTCTACTTCACGCTCGTTTTCTGTAAGGTGGTGGTACCACCCCGGTTCGGGCCGGCCCATCCGTGCGACAGCAAAAGCTGCCGCGTGGCTCTACCACTGTTAAAATGCAGCCACTGTTCTTGGTACGATACCACGGGGAGTAGAACTGTATGATAATTAAGTTACTAGTTTTAGTTTATTTTATTATAGTTTTTTAAAATTGTATATATTAATAAATTTTAATAAGTATTTAATAAATTATAAAAAAATTAAAAGAAAACAAAGTAAATAATAACATGACAGTGGCAAAAATATTTGAATCTACATCAAAATAAAGTAAAAGCTAAAATGGAAACCTTATTTGTAACGTTCTGCAGCGTGTAATGCCACTCCTGTGTGCAATTGATACGACGCGACGGTAAAGAAATAAAGAAAGGCTACCTTTCTTAGTCCGTGTTTCTCAAGCGAAACAGACTTCGCAATTTTTAAGAAATGAGAATTTTATTTTGAATTTTCTTCTAGAGTGCATTCGTTCAGTGCAAGGGCATCAATATACTTCAAAACTGTAATTTATCTGTTCTAACTTTAGATTTTATTACAAAATTATCTTTCATATTATTATCATTAAATTACATTTGTAAATTGTAAGAATTACCGCCAAACAACAGTGCTTGTACTGCCGTGTACCAATGTGAAGTGAGTGTATAGAGAACCAGTATTTAGTAGAGTAGAGTAACCAGGCATTCCATCCTAGTCCTTCCTTGTGGACTGCAAATATCCATGGACTGCAGTAATCACTTACCATCAGGTGGATTGTAAGATCTTTTGTCATTCTTATAAAAAAATAAAGAACTCATAAAAAATAATTGCAAGAAAATCCATACAATAATTCAAAAGTCAAAACACAATTACCACAAAGTACTTTTATATTACTCTACATCCGAGCTCTTAAATTACAAGGATAGTATTGCTACTTTATAATAGATATTATATATTTTATTATGATAGACATAGAGGTCAATTCAAGTCACGTTAGAAATTAATATTAGAGTTAAAAAAACCTTAAACAGCACGCATAATATATGACTTGTGATAATTCAAGTAAAAATTGGCACAGTCGTGAAATTATTGTATTGGCATAGGCTCAGATTATTCAGACGATCTAAGAGCAACGAGCTACTCGAACCACGTTTAGCCAAAAAAGATACACGGGTAGTACCAAAAAGTACGTGCACAAGAGACGCTCTACAAATTCCGCCCTATCCGTGTTCGTTGCTACTCTTTTCAAATTTGTAAAACCTAAGATAAAGTTTCAGATATACGGAATAGACTACAACTAAACCTGTAAACAAACAATTTACTGGCTTGTGTTAGAATTGGAATCCATAACTAGTTAAGTGGTCAATGCCGATCTTCAATTAAAGTAGTAAAACATGCCAACAACATCCTTTCAGGGATTATACCCACCCGTTTTACCATAACTATCAATTAATCATTTGGTGACGTTATAATACTCGTACTTATTTTTATTGTGTAAAACACAACTCTACTGAATCGATATTTATGAAACTTAATCTAGTATTCATTATTTAATTAAGGGTCGGATGAAATTATATCGGAGATGATCTCATGATATATTATTATTCGAAATATGTGAGACGCAAAAGTCATTAGCGTACGAAGAATATGCGCACACACACGACCACCCTTTTTAAATCAGTAGAATCGGACTCCACCTAGACTAGTGACTTCAAAATGTGACGAAGACAAAACAAGAATGATAAAATTTGGACTTTCAAATATGGGTCCCATTGCAACAACTTCTAAATGGTAAGCTTATTAAATAAATATCGTTACCGTTACAGCCTATTAAAGTCTACTGCAGAACATTTTAAACCAGCGTGAAGTAGAAATTTACCTCTGCGTTTCGCTTGGTGAGTGCAGGTGGCCGGAGGCCCTTTTTACTGGAAATGAGGCATTCCATCTTAGTCCTCACGGGTGACAACGCATCTGCATTTTGATTCATAGTCGAGGATAGTTGTAGATGTCTATGGGCCGCAGCAACCACTTACCATCAGGTGGACTGTGTGCTCGTTTGTCACCCTTATATTATAAAAAAAAAACATATCTCTCTCTATAACTGTCTCAGAAATACCTCCCGTATTTGCCATAGTTGCCACGCTTGGCGAGCGAGTTGGCAACCGTAGTTTTTCATTTTAATCGTTATTAGGGAGACGCTGCTCCCCATCTCCTGATCTGCTTTCCTCTGGTAGTGGATATTCTTACACTGCCACAACAGGGCACAATACAAACGTAAGGTATTAAATAAATAACTTCATTAAAATAGCAGTAAAATCCAGAATAGGCTCCATTCACTATTCGAGAGTACGGCGTGGTAGCACGCATTGTTTGCAAACTAACCTCGTTCTTGTAGCGCGCCATGTTGATGTCCGGCCTCCGCCCATCGTAGTTGCGAGAGAAGTTCCACAGATTCACGAAATGCGATAAGGAATGTATCACTGTAAAAAATGTTAAGGTTCACTCGTTTTCGCTTTAGCATACATTAAATAAAACTATTTTTTCCTCCGGGAAGTAAAAATAAGTTGAAAATAAACGCGATAAAATCCGTGAATTTAATGATTTCTTATATTTAAGCGAATACTACAGATAGATTAAAACTAATTTTCTGGATTTTACCGAGTTTAATTTTAACTTTTTAAAGTTGTAGCACGAAGGTCGGCTTGACCCATTCGTGCTACGACTATACCAGTAAATATGTCTCTAAGTATATAATATGTCACTATATAAAATATAGCTCTACCATGTATAAAATTCTATTTCTTAATAAATATAATTTACTAATTTGTTAATAAAATTCCTTTTTAAATAAGAATTATTTAACCCACCCCGTGACAGTTAAATATTCAACTTAAATATAAAAATTCGCGACTGAATCGTAAGCACTTACACAAACTATGCCAAATTACTATGAACATGTTTACACACCAAACACTCGGCGCACAAAGAAAAAGTACTCTGTAATCAAAAATCTAAATACGCACTATATTGGAGCTTTAAACTGGGGAAGGCTCGAGATTCTAATTAGTGCGAGAAGACCATTAGCCTTCGTCTCAAGAACTTAATGGCACCCGAGACCGAGGGTAGGTCTAATAATCATTTAAGGTCGCCAAATACGAGAATGAATCATAAATACACCTAAATTTCAGGAAACGTATATTTGAAAAATGTCTTTACATTTGCCGTTTAATGACGGACTAACTGTGCCCGGCGTGCGTTGTAATGACTCTTTTTGTCAGAACACTTCGCGGGCTGTAGTAGGATGCACTACAATCTACAACCCACCAAAGTTTCATTATAATTGGATGAATGATATAGTAATGCACAGACGACGAACCAAACTCCGAATATTCATTTTTCTGCTAAAAATTAAGTTCATATTATATTAGGGTTCCTTACCCGAAGGCTTCCTTATCCTTATTTAAATCCAACTGCACTCTAAATCAAAAATTCCTGGCAACTTTAACATATTAATATGTATTTAACAAATGAAAAAACTTTGCCCTTTGAGACACTTATAACACCCAAAACAACCACAGAGTAAAGTCATGTGCCATAACTATAAGGTACCAAAGGTCATATTTCTGTACTTGTGTATGAAAATTATTTAAATATGTAAAAGTATACACAATAATTAAAAATATACTCACCAGCAAATATCAGAAGTGTAATAGCGACAGTCATATGGAAACTCTTTGCTCTTTCCAGCCAAAAGAAAAATAATCCAGGCCATAATTTTGAAAGCAAGCGGTATAGCAGTTGATTGAGCTTCTTACACAAGGGGAGCAAAACCAACGCACAGCATAGGTTAAGTACATTTGCGGTGCCTCGTGATATGCATAGACCTGACTGAAAATGGTTTAAAAATTAAGACCATATTTACATAAATAAATTGTTATCTTTAAAATATTTTTATTTTCAAGCCAGATACGGTGATTTAATAAATACTAAACCTTATAATCATTGTAGTTATAGTTGTTCTCTTAGCCAATACCGTGGGTGTCGTAAAAGGCGACAAAGGGAAACTGATCAGGAGATGAGCAGCAGCGTCTTCCTAATGACGACCGAAAATAAAAAACTGTGGTTGCCAACCCGTTTGCCAAGCGTGATAACTATGGCAAACATCCCCCCTGTAAGGCAATCTATGGGGGAGGCCTATGCTCAGCAGTGAACTTTAATAGACTGTATGGTAACGGACTGTATGGTAGTGGATTGTCGCACTGGACAACTCCCGATTAATGTCGAAAATTGTCATCAACTGCAGTCTGCTATATCAACAAGAATACTTTAATATAGATTTGATTTGATTTAATTTTACTATAAATTTTAGCCATTTGCTGTAGAGACTATCGGTCCGTGGGGTCCACGTGCGGTGAAGTTCCTAAAGGAACTCCATCCGCGGCTGGTCGTTGCTGCTGGTGATAAGAGGGCTGGTTCTTTTCTCGCTCAAAGGCTAAGTATAGCCATTTAGCGGGGAGCGCAGCCAGCGTTCTTAGCACGATACCGCGGGGAGTAGTAGCAGTATAATAATTGTGTTACTAGTTTTAGTTTACAGGTTATAATACAGTCGCCGTGTAAGAATATACCTGATGTCATTCCGTGAGTGTCGTAAAAGGCGACAGAGGGGAACGAATCAGAAGACGGTACCTTCTTCCGGATAACAACTAAACATAATAAAATATTGCTTGTCACCAACACACAAACTATGGCAACACACAAACTATGTCTACATGTACCTAAATGTTTTTGTAAGTAGTTTTATCTGCCCCGACTTCCAAAAAGGAGACGGTACTCAATTCGACTGTATGTTTTTTTATGTGTGTTACCTCATAACTTTTTACTGGGTGAACCGATTTCGATGATTCTTTTTTTATTTAAAAGCTGGTACTTCACATGTGGTCTCATATGAATTGATCAAGGTCAGACCAATAGTTTTTGAGTTATTCTTATTAACTTATATTGAAGTCGGCTGTATAAATTTTTTTATTTTAAATTATTAACATAACATAATTACACAAGTGTTTTCTGCTGTATCGTAGGTTCGTATTGCATACATTAACTACACATGAAGCATGAACACACATCAAGGAACGGAACAAGTATTTTTAGAGATGGGCAGAAAAATTGTATATTTTGTAACAAGAAGTATAATCACAAAAGCTGCCTTTTTAGTCTAGTCGTCGTAAACGCAGTTGCTGATCACGAGGTCTCAGATTCGAATCCCAGGTCCAGTCAAAATCAGTTATTGAGTTTCTCGATCAAGAAATTCTCAGTAGCTGCCCGGAGTCAGGAAGTTGACGGTGTCTCACCCCCGTGCCTCGGATACTCGAAAGCCTCGTGTTATATACAGATATGGCTTTGTTTGGGATTCGAAATCTAATTTAATTCACTCTGCCAGTTTAATAACGATCAGTCTGTAAATTATTATAACTAATGATACGAGTAATAAATTTATATTATACGTTTGACCTTTTTATATAGAATAAGGGTAACAAAAAGAACACAGTTCACCTGCTGGTAAGTGGATGATGTGGCCCATGGACATCTCATATTTATACTCGATTAAAAATCAAAATGCAGCTGCGTTGTTGCACCTGAGGGCTAAGATGGAATGCCTCGTTTCCATTAAAAAGGGTCTCCGGTTCCCTACCCTCACCATACGAAACACAGCAGGATTAAGCTACTATTTTACGCTAGTATTCTGTAAGAGCATGGTCCTACCCCGGCCGAGCCGACCCATTCGTGCTACAACCATAATTATAGCTGCAGCGTGGGTCTACTACGTAAAAGCCGACCTATTCGTGCTACTACCATAATATAGCTACTGCGCAGCTCTACCACGTAAAAGCCGACCCATTTGTGCTTCTACCATAATACATCTGCAGCATGGCTCTACCACGTAAAAGTCGAGAAATTTGTGCTACTACCATAATATTATAGCTGCAGCATGGCTCTACCACCTAAAAGCCGACCCATTCGTGCTACTACCATAATATAGCTGCAGCGTGGCTCTACCACGTATAAACCTCTAATAGATATTAGGGACGCAGTTATTATTCATCCCTACAACAAAAGAGACACATATACCACAGTGGACTTTTATAAGCTGATGAAGTAGGTTAAATATAATATCATTTCACTATGCACAGATTATAGAGAAAAATTTTTTTTTCCATAAAACTGAGGTGACAACGAATTTACAGTCCACCTGATGGTAAGTGGTTACTGCAGCGCATGGACACCTGCAGCTAACTTCAAACAATACTAGTATGTATATATTAGTAGGGGTTCGCCATACACTTCGCCTACCGGTACGAGGCTGCCACTCGAGAACATTTCTTCCCCATCGGTTGTCGGTTCTTCGAGCTACATGGCCGGCAAATTGCCACTTCAGCTTTCTAATCCGTTGGACTTTGCTGCTTACTCTGGTTCGACTGAGGATATAATCATTTCTAAGTTTATCACGCAGAGAAACCTCAAGCATAGCCCTCTCCATATCTCGCTGAGCGACCTTAAGCTTCCTCATACGGTCAGCAGTGAAGGACCACGTCTCAGATCGATAAGTCATAACTGACAACACGCACTGGTTGTGCAATCTCGTTTTCAAGCTTTGAGGTATACCTGACGAGAAGATGTGTCGTATATACGTATAGTCCTTCAGATTGGAACATAGCAGTGCAAGCAATGGTATTTGACGGCAGAAAAAGGTCCTTACCTTTTTGTATCCTCGTATAGGTACCTACCCACGTGAACTCTTAGACAGAAAAGGAGCCCTAATTACTAACCTTAAATCCTAGTAAATTAAAGCACTGTTTCTCATTGCTTTAAATCATGCAACTGTACTAGGGAACTACTACTTTTGTAATCAAGATTATATCTGCCCGTAGTTCATTCCTTGAGTAAACAACTGTATTTATCTTTCATAAAATTGTTTCGATTTTTAGCTATTGTTTATGGTGTTTTAGCTAACATTTTTTTTTAAATTGTAAACATCAAACCGCCGAGATCCAATTGTAAGGACCTAAATTATTCACATTCTGAAATGTGACACAACGAAACTGAAGAAAATGAGACATCGCGCGTGTATGTCAGGAATGTCTTTTAGGAACATGGTATAAACACTGCAAGAATTTTAAAACTGCAGGTATGTATTATGTACTTACCCCTAAAATGCTTCTTAAATGATAAAATCGTCGATCCTTGTAATAGTAATTAAATGTATCGTAAAAAATATATAAAACTAATGAGATCCATGATATCTGAAACAAAAAATCTTTATTAAATATTTTTGTTTGAGTAATGATAACAACGAGACAACTATCCTTTTGCAAAAAAAAACAACTTATAATAAAAATTAATAGCCGATTTCAAAGAGCTAAAAAGAATAAAATAATTTAATCTAAGACAGAATGTGAAATTACTTTTTGGAACGAAGTTCCATATCGCACGGTACGAATTTGGCGGATGGGGGCTAGGCGACAAAAAGTATAAGGTTTTTCCGTCACGACCCCTTCTGAAGTAGTGTAGACAGCCTTGGCGGCTATAAGGAAGCGAGATAGAATAATATCCATCTCCCTCGCACTTTTCTTTATCTTGCCATGAAAGAAATATTATTTGATTTCAAATGACGCTTCATTTTAATAGACGCTAGTAATTTATTTATTTGTATTTGTTAATCTATAATATAATACGTTTATCTATAATAATATACTACGAAAGGAACTTCGTTCCAACTGAGTGTTCCACAACACTCACACATGTTTTTTTTATTTTTTGTTCCTTGAATTCGGCTTTTACTTTATATTAAAAGTAAATTTTTTAATCATTTGAGTGGACTATGGAATATCACAATATCAATGTCATCTAAATAGTTACATTAAAATTAATTTCACTCCCTATTTTAGCAACATTAAGGGTAGGGAATGTTTTTTCTAAATGTAAATGGGGCCACCCCTTAGTAACCTATTGAAAAAAATCATCGAAATAGGTTTACACCGACGTAGATATCGCGTATTGTAATATTAGTGACAAACGTTTTTCTACGTGGTAGAACCATGCTGCATCTATATTAGTAGTATAGTTGTAGCACGAATGGGTCAGCTCGACCGGGGAAGGACCACGCTCTCACAGAATACCAGCGTAAAATGGCAGCTTGAGACGACACTGCTGTGTTTCGTATGGTGAGTGCAGAGAACCGGAGACCCATTTTACTGGAAAAGAGGCATTCCATCTTAGTCCTCAAGGGTGACGACGCACCTGCATTTTGATTCGTTATTGAGGATAGATGTAGATGTCTATGGGTCACAGCAACCACTTACCGTCAGGTGGACTGTGCGCTCGCTTGTCACCCTATCCTATAAAAAAAAGCTACCAGGACTCGATAAGTGCCTACTGCAAGGCAAAGACACCTGCAACAAACTTCAAAGGAGGCTATAGATTGAAAATACGTTCTTATACCAGAGGACTTTAAGACAAACTCAAATATATTAGGATTTCATTAATTCATACATGCATTACAACCTATCAAAGTCCACTGCTGAACATCCCCCCCATAGATTGCCTAAATATTTGCCATAGTTGCCACGCTTGGCTGGCAGGATTGCTACTGCAGTGTTTTACTGTCTAGTAGTTATTAGGAAGACGCTGCTGTCCATCTCCTAGTTTGTTTCCCCCTGTCGCCTCTTACGACACCCACAGGACAGCATGGTAGTAGTAGAAATTCTTGCGCTGCCATTATTCCATGGTAAAATCTTTAAATAAGCCTATAAACTGAATTTAGGAGGCATATATTAAGCAATAGATATTTATAGGCTGAGGATGGATGGAGAGATTCTTTGAAGGTAAAAATCTACCACTGGTTCCAAAATCTAGATCTATACAGAGAAGAACCAAAGAAAAACGAGTTTTTGTAGTTTTCTTCGTTTATTTAAAAAAAAAAAAGATAACTCCATTTCATTAAATAAACTGAATTATACCATTTTAATCTTAATGAGGATCAGTAAGTTGAAGTGGCCTCATAGCTTGAAGAATCGACAACCGGTAGAGAAGAAAGATTCGTGTGGCAGTAGCGGTAAATAAAGTATCGCCCCCCCCCGTCCCCCCGCCCCCCCACTATATGGAGTGACGACCTAGCAAGACTTGCAGGAAGTCGATGGCATTCCTTAGAGGCTTATGTACGGCAATGTTCTTGTGAATTAATGTATTGATGATGGTAATTATAGGCAAAATATATGTCACGCACTGTATACTTAAATATTGAGGTATTGAGTTAATATACTCGTAGTTAATTTTAATACGAGAATAGCTCCATCTCAATTTTATAAACTTCGCTGTAGTGTCTGCACAATTTCGTGAAAACAGAACAGTTAAACTCTAAAAATAAAGTTTCAAAAATAAATTAAGAATTCTAGATTGTTTAACATTTGCTATTACAGTAAACGATGCCAGTGTGTTTATAAAGAGCTTAGTTTTGCGTTTGAAAACGCTGAGACTTGAAATGAGCGTGAATTCCAACATTCTGTACGACACGCGTCGGAAGTCAAACAAGCGTGCCAGTAGATACTTCAGAGCAGACGGCATTCAACGCCGGTGCGTAACCACTACGCTGTACAACGCCTTTGACAGCCCACCCATTGAACATCTGAATGGAGTCGATGACAAAGCGCTCGAGTGTGGCCCCGCATTAATTACTGGATGTCGAACGCTACGATATTGAAATCTCATTTACATTTACGAAGCAATGACTACTGCTGCAGTAATCTGTTACAAGCGGTGATGGGATATATTTTTAAAATTATCTAATCGAATTTCGTCTATTTTGTATATAGTTATAAGATTACTGGAAATTAATTTAAGTTCATCGCTTATTTAATTTTTCCACCTTATGGGAGAGACTTTTTTCTCCAGATTTAAATGAAACCACCCCTGGAGTTTAACTTATTTAATAAAAAAAAAGTGTTATTAAAAAATGTTCCGAAGAAACAAAAAAAAATTAAAACAAATTGATTAATACTTCTTTTATGAAGTCGGCAAAAAAGAAATAAATAAAATATTAATAATAATAAATGTATGTATTAGAAACATTAATGACTTGATGTTTGTTTTGTTTCATCTATCTTTAATTGATTTACTTGAATCATCCTTTTGGTTTAGGATTTATTGATAATAACACATAAAGTTCCAAAATATATTCTAAAAAACGGATGCATGGATGTAATGCCATGCTATGGACGTAAATATAAATAGAAGCCCCGAAAACATTGACTTACCGAATATATTCCAAACCACCAAATTCGTACCACGCGATTAGGAACTTCGTTTCAAAAATTAAATAGAAATTCTGACAATCGTCATTAGTGGGACAAAGTAACAAGTTGACAAATAGTTAATCTGTCTTTGTTATAAAATAACACGTTATATACGTATCACCAGTTTGTAAGTGGATGCTGTGGCCCATACCGATTAAGGATCAAAATGCAGATGCGTTGTCAACCTTGAGGAGTTCGATTCTCTACACTCACTATACGAAACACAGCAGCATTAAGCTGCTATTTTACTCTAGTATTCTGTGAGAGTGTGGTAATGTAATGATACAGTAATGATTCAGTTTAGTGATTCAGTGATTAGTTCTTATTAAAAGGTTTTTTTTTTGTAATAATAATGAACCGGAGACCACTAATCTTTGTCAGCTTCCAAAGTTTAAGCTCCTTCTAAGTTTATTCCTGAAGTAGATTATAAGTTTACAATTTTGTGCATTCTTTCTCCGATCACACTCTTAATCTCATGGCTGTTAGACGGGAGATGAAGCTATATTCTTCAACAGATTTGACAGCATACAGGCAACTGAACAGACAGATATCCAATTGCATGCGGCGGGACTTACGCAACTTTAATACAGCTTGTATTGAAGAAGCGATCGAGCAGAACCAAGGCTCCAAAGTCTTTGCACGAGATCTGTCTGCCAGAAAGAGCCAACTGTCAAGGCTGAAGACCGAATGTGGTGGCATTGTTTCCGGTTTTCGATTGAGAGGTTCTATGGACAGCTGTACACGTCATCGTTGGAGCCACACGCAAGTGTGAGTAACGATCCAAGAGTGAGTCTTATCCGACACTATTCCGAAGATACCTCGGACGTCAGTCTGAGCGAGATTAGAATGGCTCTCCAGCACCTTAAAAACGGAAAGTTCCCGGGCGAGGATAGCATTACAGCGGAGCTTTTAAAAGCGGGTGGAAAACCAGTACTTGAAGTCCTTCAAAAGCTCTTTAATTCCGTCATCTATGGTGGCACTACTCCGGAGGCGTGGAGCAGAAGTGCGGTGGTCTTGTTCTTCAAGGATGGCGACAACGCTCTCTTGAAGAACTTCAGACCGATTTCCCTTCTGAGCCGCGTCTACGTGCTGTTTTCGAGAGTCATTACGAATCGTCTCGCGCGCAGACTTGACGACTTCCAGCCTCCCGAACAAGCCAGTTTCCGAAAAGGCTTTAGTACCATAAACCACATACATACCCTGCGGCAGATTGTACAGAAGACAGAGGAGTATAATCTGCCACTTTGCCTTGCGTATGTGGACTATGAGAAAGCCTTTGATTCAGTCGAAATTTGGGCGGTGTTGCAGTCCCTTCAGCGGTGCCAAGTTGACTGTCGGTATATCGAAGTACTGAAGTGTTTGTACAGTAGAGCTATGATGGCTATCCGAGTACAGAATCAGAGTACGAAAACTATCCAACTGCAAAGAGGTGTAAGACAGGGTGACGTTATATCCCCGAAACTCTTCACCGCTGCATTGGAAGACGTTTTCAAGCTACTGGACTGGAAAGGATGCGGTATTAACATCAATGGCGAGTACATCACTCACCTTCGATTTGCCGACGATATAGTCCTTATGGCAGAATCGCTGGAGGAACTAAGCACCATGCTCAATGACCTCAATAGTGTCTCCCAACGGATAGGTCTTAAGATGAACATGGAGAAAACAAAATGTTTAACGTCCATGTCACACCTATGCCGGTAGTTGTTGGGAGCACTAAGCTCGAAGTTGTTGACGAGTATGTTTACCTGGGACAAATAGTCCGACTAGGTAAGTGCAACTTCGACCGAGAGGTCAATCGACGGATTCAACTCGGCTGGGCAGCGTTCGGGAAACTACGACACATCTTCTCGTTAGACATACCTCAAAACCTGAAAACGAAATTGTACAACCAGTGCGTGTTGCCAGTGATGACTTACGGATCTGATACGTGGTCCTTCACTGCTGGCCGT